TAGGGTTACATAGGTTAATATAGGGTTACATAGGTTAATATGGGGTTATATAGGGTAACGTGGTGTTCTATAGGGTAATATAGGGTTATGTAGGGATAATGGAAAAGAACATGGAAACGATAATGGGTTGTATAGGGACTAAGTATCCATTCCTCCTCCATTCCTTGCTAACCAAAGATAAGTTACACAAACCGAAGAAACAAACTGATGGTCTGTCTCCTGCAATGAAAGCGTAGCCTCTCCTGCCAGCTTCCTCGGAAGTACAACTTTACCCCGCCGAAGCCTATGCCTACCACTCATCGGTCTACCGAAGCAGCGTCAAACATGATGGCTTTCCCAACCTAAACTCTAAACCCTAAACCCCTAAACCCCGAACCCTAAACCCTACACCCCTAAACCCCAAACCCTAAAACAGTAAACCCCTAAACCCTAAACCCCTAAACCCTAAACCCCCAAACCATAAAGCCTAAAGCCTAAACGCCCAAACCCTACACCCTAAACCCCTAAACCCTAAACCCCCAAACCCTAGACCCTAAACCCCTAAACCCTAAACCCGAAACAACAGAGTCAGCCTGAGGGCTTATTCTAAACCCAAACACCTTAAACCCCTATAGCCCCCTTAAGTAGATAGAAAATGGGGTATAAGGGGATCTTATTTTGATATACCCAACACCATTTTCTATCTACTTAAGGGGGACTATAACCCCTAAACCCTATATATCCCAATCAGAGCCCTATGTAGCCTCTACAACCCCCATAAAGGTAAACCCCAACAGCACCCCAGCCTCAAGCATGGCTGTGAAGAAAGTGCCACTGCTGCCCTGACGTGACAGTGGGATAACGGCCTGCCAAAGAGCTGTCATCGGAGTTATATAGGGATCATATAGGGGTTATATTGGGGTTATATTTGGGCAATATATAGGGGTATATAGGGCGGAAGGAGCTGACGACCGACGCAGCTTACGTTTATAGGTGTCGTTCTGATATCCCGAATTACACCTGGTGGCGTGTAGTAATTACAGGATCCTTAATCTCGAGGGCTCACATGATCATGTTCTCACACGTAGGGACTTGTAACCTACCGCATCTTGTGGCTTCCTGCTGCCCATGTACAGGATCAACAGCCCTAAGTCAGCACCCAAAAGCTCCCGGCAAGATTTAAGATTCTGGTTTCAGAGTGTCTAGAGATAATCCCATGAGCCATAGTCTGAACTCCATAAAGGGGGTTTTTATAAGGGGTCATGAAGGGCACTACTATAGGGGTTACGAATTAAGGAGGATACTAGGACTAGGAGTTGAGAGTTTAGACAATGGTTCACATGGGCTCGTGTGAAAACCCTATGGCCACTCTTCCTATCCTATTTTAAACCTTATCGTCATTTTTTATTGGTTATCGTTTTACAGGGGAACTGTCTAATACGTCTGGAATTGTGGATCTTATTTTTTTTTTTGTGTATTGGTTATCGTTTCGCAAGGGAAGCAGCAAATAGGACCGCTCTTGTATAAATTCTGACAGGGGGGTTTTTACCCAAGCCCATTTGGGGGCCCGAGCAAAAGAAGACTTGGGGCACCTGACAATGCAAACCTGTCGGAAGTATGAGGGGTAGGATTCCTCACTTGACAGATGCCGTGTGACATCCACTACCACTACTAAAGCAATACCAATACCACGACCACAATAATAGATTCCATTTTCTTTTCCATTATCCCAATATTACCCCCATATACAATAGTATTTTCCAGTTTCTTTTCCATTATACCCATATAATCCCCTGTACAAAAGTACCACTCCCCTAAACCCTAAGCCCTAAACCCTCAAACCCTAAACCCTCAAACCCTATACCCTAAACCCTCTCCCCTAAACCCTTTTTCCACGACCATAAGTACTAATACTGTGCAACTCCCACCACCACTCCACCTGCTCCACCTCAATCCCCACCTGCTCATGCTCATCCTCTGGCCTGCTGCTGAACTACACCAGCAGGACATTACTACTATTACTGTTATTGCTATTACTACTACGTTTCTTCATTACTGTTATTACCAATATATCTAGTATTACAAAATCCAGTAGGTTGCAGACAATTCAAAACAGCGCACAACAGCCCCCAATCTTGTCTCATGCAGGTTGGGGGGCATCCGGTCGGCATTGAATGGAGATGCGTAGATGCGATCACCGTGGGCGAGGAGAGATTTCCAGGCATCATCACCGCTGAACTCCTGCAGCGTGAAGTGTATTGGGGCTCACGAGATCGGCAGGATCCCAGACCAAACCTGCAGTCACCAAGATGCCTTATTCATACCTTTGAAGTCTAAGCCCAGAACCTCAGGCCGTGGACTGCTGCCCCTGCATACAAGACCCCTTACCTAGAGCCCCGCAAACATGGTAAAGCTTCAGCCAATGTTCGAAAAGTGCCGAAAAAGATGATAAGGGTATATGAGTATTCTTGCCTTTATGACTCATGGTGAGTACGCATGTATATAGATATGAATATCAGTAAAAACCCTTGTTATCAGGTTATGGGCAGCCACGTGTGAGCCTTCTCCGTGTCGATTTTATGTGTGACCAGGTTCGCTTCAATGTCAATCACCTCATGTCTTATGCATTAATCCGTAATCGGCACATGTTTCTCCTGACCGGCAAGGAATGCTTTATGTACCACCGCTTTGCCACAGCTCTACCTTCACATCTGAGGCAACGGTTGTAAACCCAAAATTCTGTTGGGGTGTGGGTCTCAGCGCTGGCTCCTTCAATTGCTTTGTCCCTGGACTTCTCCGATTCTCCACGACTAGCGAACGATCTAGCCTTTTTCCTCACTACCACACAGACTTGCGCGAATGAGCTACGTTGGAGTTTATAGGTGCTGTTTGGAGGTGCCGGGTTTAGGCGTTGCGTGGGTGGAGTTGCAGACATGCCGCAACCCTACCGCTGAGCAAATACATACAGCGGGATATATGTGAAGTAAATGCCAACCAAACAAGCGAGCGTGCAAAAAGGATGCCGCATGCTACTTTTCGTTGTTCCTGAGTCTTGGTGCGGGATGGCATGGATGTTCCACCCATTCCGCCCTAAGCCCGACTAAGCCCTAAACCCTGAACCCTAGGTCCTAAAACCGTAATACTTAGCTGCACACCCCTGGCTCGATACTTTAAACCGGCGACTGCCCACAAGGCTCCAAGCTTGTGCTTGCCAAGAGTCGAGCATGACCTCACCAGGCTTCGTGCCATGCAGGGCTGAGGGTCTAGAGTTTTGGCGCAAGGCCTAGTGACCCATTGCTCGGGGTTTAGAGTTTAGAGGGTCTTTAGCTCGAAGCCCAGAGTCCAGGGTTGCGGGTTTGCAGCTTAAGGCCTAGTCTGTAGCGATTAGGGTTTAGGGCCTAGGGTTGTTGGCTTCAGGTCTCGTGTTGCGCTCTTTTGCCATCCCTCACGTCAAACTCTACGACTGCGTGGCTTCTTCATGCCTAGATGATACCTCATGAGGATCCAAGCTACTTGTAATTCCTATGTTTTCCCTCTGGAGTCCCGGGGGCTCTACGTTCTGAGCAGCCCGCATGTATAAGTATAGGAGGCAAGGACAGGGCTGATGGTTTTGGCTCAAGGCATTCGTTTATCAAGAACATTGGTCTTCTTTGGCGTCCTCGAAACAGGTTTGACATTCTTTCTTGAAGCAAAAAACTGCACAGACATCCAGTTTTCGACAAACACCTGAGCACCCTTCAGTCGAAAGCCTGAAAGGCGGTTCGAAATGCTGAGAACATCTTCCTTGAAGGCATGAAAACAATACCAGGGTGAGCCTTGAGACCCATTCACTTCCAAGAAAAGTACTCCATGAATACAAAAAGAACCCCAGCTGGACCTAGCAAACATTGGAATTGCAACTCTGGAAGCCCTTCACGTCCTTTGCACATGAAAGCAGCCTTTTCGTTGAATGGGCAGGTGAAGAGCTTATTGTCCTTAATCAGGGCGTAGCTCCACTTCATCGCCTGGTGAATCGAACGCTGAGAATTGCGCATTCAACAAGTGCCAGTGGACGTTGCGGCCATAGCGGTGGTTGCGGGGGCGAGAGTGGTGGCGGCGGCAACATGCGGTAGAAGAGGAGGCAACGGTGCCGCTCCTGCCACCGCTGCCACCGCCATCACACTGCGGCCAGCACCCGCACCCGCACCAGCATAAGCAGCAGCAGCAGCAGCGCCAGCGCCGCCGCCGCCGCCCCCCCGCCCCGCCGTCGCCGCCGCCACCACCACCACCACCACCACCAGCTGCTGTAGCAAGGGCCCGTCTTCATGATGATGACAACTCAGCGCTACAACAATGCTTTGGATAACCCTTTTGCTTTAGGTATGAAGGCGCTACCTACTTTGAGCCCCCAAATCTGGGCAATTACCTACTTTGGGCTATCTGAAGCTAATTAAGCAACGAGACACCAAAACAACTTCCTGTCACGGCCTGGCTCTGAAGATCTGGCAACTTTTCGATGGACCACACTTTCAGGGTCCTGGGAGGTGTGAATGCTAGGCAATCGTACCGGTATGCAGGTATGTATGCACGTATGTAGCACATTCGAAAAAAAGGGCTGTCAGTTGGCGTTTAAAACACTTGAATCACCTGAATGCTCTCCCAATATGGTATTGAAAATCAAGTCCCATCGACAAGAATGGACTGGGCCTTGCAAAAACCGTCCTGCCAAACTTGCGCGGAAGCTTTATGCCGAGGCAGCTGTTAAGGAAGAGTTCTCTGAATTGGTCAAAAGCGGGATCTTCGCTGCCCTCTTGAATCTTGAAGCTTGCCTCACTCATAAAGCTTGTGTTGTGGCGTCAGGACTCCAACATACAGCCAGAGTCCACCTCCCACCTTGTTGACCCCAACAAGTGGCGACGTAACTTGTGCTATTGATTTTACTTCCTGGTGCAACGCTTTTGTCAGCCCCATCAGCGTCGAGCAGCTTCAGAAAGTGAACATAGGCTCCGCCACGAGCAAGCTGGAAAGCTGACGTGCCGTGACAATCAATGCAATCTATGGACACGCGGGACCCAAGCGATGCAACTGCAACATTGGTGTGCCCAAGAGAACATGCGTAATCCTGCCAAAACAGCCACAGGTGTGGTTTGAGGCCCCTTGCTCCAGGAGAAAAATAGTAATGCTCCCCTGGCCGTGTCTTGCCGCCAGTTGCAGAGCTGCAACACTAAAATCATGAACCTCATCCTCGTCCGCTCCAGCCTCAACCAGCAAACATGCAATCGCAACGTGGCCTCCTTCACATGCACCATGCAGAGCTGTGCCACCCCAAGTATCGCACTTGCGGTACAAGCCGCTGTCAAGATCCGCTGAGACTCAGAGGACTCCTCGAAGTCCCAAACGTATATATCTTAGTTCCGGGCCTGTTGTAGCGTTCCGGGCCTGTTGTAGCAGTACATCATCTTTCAAAATTTACCTTTGATGAAGCAACCTCTGCCTCACTTCAAGAGAGTCGCACTTTGAGCACCATGCATGCCCAAGTGCAGATTCTGGACGTGTAAGGTGTGCGGGCTACGGCTTGGCATTTGGAACTTGTACCTTGTGTTGGGTGCATTGTTGGGTGCTTGAACAGCAAATGGGGAAGAACACAAGCCGCCAAGCATGTCGGCATCATCATGAGGGGAGCTTCAGCAGCAGGGGTTTCTTGCTGTACTTGCCGGAGACTTTTCCGGACGTCGACTGCTGCCTGCTCCACGTCCAGACTACAAAGTCTCAGCAGGGGATAGCATGGAACACAATACCATAGCAAGACCCCCGAAAATAGCTAGCGTAAGCAGGACGCGTATCCCTGCACCAATACTCTTTGCATGTCAAAGGCTCGGATTCTTTGCCGCGACGTCCATGGACATGAACACAGTGCCTCCAACAGAAACAAAGCAGACTTAGGTCTGAGCTTAGGGTCTAGACTTCAGTATTTTGGTGAATTCAGCTCTCTAGGGTTGAGGGGCTTAGTTGCTTGGGATTTACTGTTTTGGGGTTGAAGCATGACTGCGCCTCCGCCAGGGACGAGGTAGAGCTTGGAGTTTGTGGCCGCGATTCCCCCGAAAGCTAGAGGGTTCAGAATATACTTCTTCCAACCTGCCCGAGCATTGCGGCCAATTTTGACCGTTGACATTCGCAGCGGCGTCCTCCAGCCAGCAGCTTCAAAAAGCGGGGGTAGAGGGCTGGTGCGGTTGGGGAGCCTAAGCAATGAAACACACGTGTAGAGCGTTGTAATTAAAGTCTATAGCACTAGACGGATTGAACACCAAGTGGGGTATCAGCTCTTTCAAACCGTGAACGCAGGCGTCACAGAAGGCAAGATGCATGGGAGTGGGCTTTGGGGCCAACCCGCTGCGCATTCTGAAAAGGATTTAGGGGTTGGGCTTCACGTCATAGTCCAGGATTTAAACTCTAAACCCTAAACCCAAGGTTTGTGTTTCTGTTGTTGGGTGCAGAGGTATCTCTCAAACTACAAGCCATGAGAGATTTTCAGACTAGGGCTTACCTGGAAGCTGTATAGAGCTTGTAGATGTAGCGCTCCTGGTTAAGGTTTAGGTATTTCAGTTGAGGTCTAGAGAGGTTCTGATACCCTACGTGTCCGAATGTGCCGTGTCTTGGCGACTGCATTTCGTTTCCAAGTGATTCGCGATGGTGTTTGTAGGTGTCTTAGCTTGCTTGCTCGGACTTGAACGATATGCGAATATACAAACTTTCACACCGTACAACCAGAATGGGACTGACAAGGCTGAGACTGAAACAGCCGCAAGAAAATTTCATGAATGGGTAGTCAGAGATCACAGAATTTGAGCTTGCACTGTCCCCGTAAATTAGCTTACCGTTGGTTAGCTAGGAATGAATGAATGGACATATAACCCATATAGTAGTTTCCATTTTCTTCCCGTTCCTTCATTCCCAGCTAATCAAAGGCCAGTTCATCAGGCATCGAAGCCCCGAAGCAGCCCTGTGAACACTACTGTCCCTTGAAAAGAGGCCCTCGTGGGCTTTCATGTTTGTCTCGGGAAGGGTACCAGTTGCAGCCGAGGGGCTGAGTCATGTTCACAACAAGGATGTGCCTGCTTGCAAAATGAAGGTTGCGGAGGGGACCGGAAAAGTCCTTTCATTAAAAAAACCCTACACCAAAACCCCAAGTTAGCAGATGCAGCTTGAAGCTTGAGGACTTGAAGTTCATCCTGTACCCAGAGGGTCCACATATACAACCATTAGGGAATTGGGACCCATAATTACTTCTATAGTATGGTATTTTTTGGCCTAATTCCCTCATAGTTGTATATATAGACCCTCTGGGGTATATTCTTGCCGGACTACTCTGCATGCCTCGCAAATTCGAATCCTAAACCCTAGACGTCCCTAGACCTAATCTCTCCTGGAAGTTAATTGCGAGTTATGTGCCTGCCCTCGGTAGGAAGCGCGTAGCCCACCCGGCCGCTTGGGCTGGCGACCAGCTGGCTCCTTTGCCGGGAGCTTGGGATGCGTAGCTTCGGATTCAGGCGGCTTAGGGTGTAGGGTTTAGGGTTTGGCGTTTAGGAACGGCATTCAGGGTTGGGCGATTCATGTAGGGATCGTCTACTTGAGCTTAAGATCTTCCTGTTTAGATTTATACGTTGAAAGGGCCTTCCAACAAAAACAGAACCATGGGGACATGCTGGAAAAGCACACAAAATTGACCCTACATGCAACGGACTAATCGCTTAACCGTAAAAATATTAAACACCCCCAAAATTCCAAATTCTTACATCCCAACACTAGTTTCAAAAAGGGCCAGGACTGAAGTAATTTGCGGCTCGGATCCTTTGAATTAGGGTTTTTGTTTTTGGCACGACTTTTAAGAATTAGGGATCTCCTTGTTTTCCTAGATTTTAATTGTTTTGTTTTTGAATAGTTCTTATAAAGAATGTATATAGAAACATCCAGCAACAGATTCCAAGGCCCTAATTTGGAATCGTCCTACCAAGGAATCTGAAATAATCCTTAATGAGGCCCTAATTTGAAACAGTCTCTTATAAATTATAAGCCCCTAATTTGAAAAAGCCCCTTACAAGCCCCTAATTTGAAATAGTCCCTGAAAGGCACTAATTTGGAATTTGGAAGAGTCCCTAATAAGGGCCTAATCTGAAATAGTCCCTAGTAAGGTCCTAATTTGAAACAATCCCTAGTAAGGCCCTAATTTGAAATAGTCCCTAATAAGGCCTTAATTTGAAACAGTTCCTAGTAAGGTCCTAGTTTGAAATAATCCCTGATTTGGAAAAGTCCCTAATGAGGCCCTAATTTGAAACAGTCCCTAATAAGGCCCTGATTTGAAATGGTCGCTAGTAAGGCGCCTTAACTTGAAATGGATATTCAGCAGATTCAATTGAATTTTGCACCAGTCTAATCAGATTTCTATTTACCTAATGTTCGGGTCGTACGATAAATACCTCCCCCTATATTGAATATGGTTCTGACTATTTACATTTGTGGGGGGATCCGTTTACATTATCGGGAAACAATTATCATGTGTGCTTCTACAATTAATTGGCACTCTTCATGTTCCATGTAAATGATTCCGCTTTGGAATTTGTTCTGCCGACAAGCATGAGGTGTCTGAAGATTATTGATACTGTCATGAGGTTCAATGGACGAAGACTATACTCATTCTTGATTTTTTGCGCTGTCACTTCGTGATGCCCAGGCCCCGTCCCTGAACCGTCGACCCTAGACATTGACACTCACAGTTGAGGGCTCTGAGCTTTCGAGCTTTGAAGTGTGAATGGGGCTTCAGGGCTTAGAAATCATGGGTTTGTTCTTCAGGGACTTGAGGTTTTAGGGTTTACACAACGGCGTGCCAAGCGTGGTGGTCAAGTGTCCATCCAGGATTTTTGGCTGTGCAAATGAGGGGGACGTCTGCGCTCTTCGCCGTCTTCGCCTCAAGTCACAAGATTTGGGGTTTGTCGATTAGCCTTTTCCTTCCGCTTGAAATTACTGGCAACTATTCCTAACATTCCTACATATCACTTTCAGTGCTGCTGCCTCGGACTTCGTATTCTTTGAAACCGTGAGTTTCGCTGGTTGCTTTGGAATGAATGCCCAACTAGGCACGGGTAACGAAACATGTGCTCTGAAAGTCCAGTAACTTTCCGCCCCCATCTCTGGAAAAAAGCGGCTTTGGGAGCCGGAACCTGAGCACCTTGGTTCAACAGCGGATGGCTTAGGGTGCACAGCTTACTATCCTAGCTGCCAAGGCCAAGCAGGCTTTTGTTTAATTTCAACGAACTAAGGGCTAGCCAATCAGAATCAACAAAGTCAGGGCGCAGACTGGAACCATTTGTGGGTGGACTCCTTCCTTCCCAACATCCTGGACTGAAGAGAATGGAGGGTTTCGCATTTAGGGCTCAGGCTATGTAGGGTTTTAAGGGCAAAGATTTGCTAGGTTGGGGAAGCTGAATATTTGAGGCTTGTGTAGCTGCTGCGCGATTTCGCGAATCGGCTCTTTTCTTTTGATTTCCAGGGGGTGGCACGAAGGGTTCGTCTGGTCGGCTGGGTTCGGCACAGGCTGGAGTAGATCTAGATTCGGAACCCTATACGCGAGGCCAAAACACGTATTGTTTTCTTTGGGGGGGGTTGGGGGGTCGGTTGTGGGGGCAGGGTGGCTACGTTGTCAGTACCCGCATGGCGCAGCTCGTGAAATTCTTTGAAGACTCCCGCGTGCACCAAGACAAACCTCCAGAGCGCTTCAGCACGTCAACACGCAGATGATGGACACCTCACCGCATCTCCAATAAAGCTTCGTCAAGACAGCGTCTGACCATTCCCTCAACCAGGTATGTATGCCTAGCGAATTGAGCCTTGAGCCTGTTAGAATGAAAGGCCTTGCCTGGTGCAGCATGTGGTTGCGAAGAACAGACTGCCCAAATAACCCTAAAAGTAGGCTTCACGGGTGGAACAGTGTGGTCCCCTTAGCCCGTCCTTTTCATTGAGGAGCAGCAGGCGCGGCTGTTTCTTATCTTCTGAGACGCCCACCAACATGCCACCAACGCGAGACAGGTGCCTGGGCATATCTGCTGACAAATCCTGAAGTTCTGTGGCTCATCAGGGTTGTAGTCGCTAGTGGGGGGCTTCGAGCAGGGCAAGCGTGATCGTGAGAGAGAATTCGCTTAAACTGAATCGGCTGCAATTCTTGAGTCAAGAATAGCACGCCCCTGCACATGTAGCCGTTTTTTCAAGGGTCAATTTCAAGCCACTCTGCTGGATGAGCACCTTCCATGATATGCCTGAACTCCGTGCAAAGCGCAACCCTTGCTCAAGCTTCAGTTTGTTTGGCCAAGTTACCAATTCCCGCCGCTTACGCCCGTGTACCTGGACTTGCACACATCGCTCTGCAGGCGTTCCCACTGGTAAAGCACATGCTACGAATGCATCTCCTGCACAGTAGATCACGTAAAGGCGACGAGAGAGTCGTGCTCCGTCCAACTTGAACGCAGCCCTATCAGCATGACACAAACGCTGGTGACCTTGCCTTCGTGCCTACGTCTTACATGTTCGGGATCGTAGACTGAGCCTCATTTTCCTAATTTCGTATTTGGACGTTCAAGACTTCCTCAAATTCATGATTTTTAGCACCTAACGTTCTTTATCCGGCGAAGTCCCCTGGAAAAAGACAAGATATGGCGAGGAAAATCCTTTGGCAGGTACCAGCTTCAACGGGAACCATCTCACACGTGAAGCCGGAAGAGTTAAGTGATGTTGCGACAGGGGTTTTGTTGTCCCGCGCGAGCCTTGACACTAGTTTTGAAGCCTTCCAAGAGAGTGAGTTGAAAGGTCCTGCGCATAGGGCCGCCCCGGGGAATGGATCCCCTAAACCCTAAATTATAGTAGTTTCCATTTCCTTTTCCATTATCCCAATATAAACCCTAGAACCCCTATATCCCTAGCTCCTAAATCCTAAACCAGATCAGAAGGGTGGTGTGTATGTCCACAAAATATCCATTTGCAGCTCTGCCTCAGATCTGTAGTTGCCATCATCACTCCCAGAAGTCTAAAACTATAAGCCCCAGAGGGTTTAGGGTTTAGGCTACTGCACAACATGCGAAACAACTCTACGAATCCATTTAAAGGATAGGACGATGTGGCGTGTCCAGCTTCTGAGCTTGAGCAAAGGCAATGGCAATTTAGCCTAGCCTCCAGAAGGTGTCCGAGCTACATGTTTTAATATAATGCAGTTGTAACGCACTGTAACACACTGAAATTAGGCAGGCACCCAGATCTCGCCAGGTGCTTTCTCAACAAGCGTTTTGTGGTTTTGAGTATTCAGGTTCTGGGGTTTAGGATACGATTCTCAGTAGTGCCAGTGGGGCCAGATAGGGGATTGAAGCTGCTTGATGCGACTTGAAACTTGAACTCTCGGCCCGAAGCCTGAAATTCTGAACCTCCCCAAAAGCCTAACCCTAAGGGTCCCTGTGCCCAATGATTAGGTACTAGGGATCGATATTGGTAATAGTATTTCTAGTACAGATCTTGGGTAAGTATATGATTATTGGCTACTTGGACCCTTAGGGTAACCCATGTAAACCACAAGCTCTCAGCAACTTCGGCACCTCGGAAGGCACTTCTGGCGAGTCAAGTCCTGACAGCCAAGGGTTGGTCTTTAAGGTTTGGGGCTTTGGAGCTTTGAGGGTTAGGGGGTTTAGGGTTTAGGGTTTAAGGGGTTTAGGGGTTTAGGGTTTGGGAGTATGTCATGTGCTTAGGGCCCCTCGTCTCAATGATATAGGTCTTTACCAACCTGGTATGGACGCTCTATCAAAGGCCTGACCTACCACGACGCAGAATGATATACGCCTAGCTGGAAATGAGGCGAACGTATGACGACTTCTACATTGGGCTGTAGATTCTGCGTTATTCAGTCTGCCTGCAACTTGTCTCAACATGAATGGTTCCAATAGGCTTTCGGGCTCCCACGCTTCAGCCAAAAGGGCAGCCCTGGATGTCGCACCTGGATTTCCTTATCTGCCCTGTGAAAACTGTGGGAGCGACAGCCTATACCTGCTGGTTCTGCAACCTCACGCTTCCAAGTGGTCCAAACTAACCAAGCGACTCAATTCTCCCCTCTGCATGCTCCCGGCTAAACCTGCCCGCTGCAACTCTGAGATATAACCAAAGACAGACATTTAAAATGTCAATCCTGTTGGGGACAGTGCATTGGCTAGCAACCGAAATAAAACCAACAATCCGGACCTTAGACTGTTGTATGGGTTCAATCTGCTGCAACTAACTACGTACGATTATGTAAGGATTGTTAGGGAATAGCAGAGACAAATATTCAGTCAAATTTAGTCGTTTACATTTTACGTTCATGATACAGTGTGCTCCTTCTCGCCACCCATCCTGGGCCTTTGGCTGAACCGCCAGGATGTCGCCTTCGTGCAGTTCGGCGCCTCACATGATTTGAGACATGGGCATTAGTATGATCATTGCCAATGGTGGCTAGTCACACCAATTTGAGCTTCCGTTGCAAGTTTACAGAGCTTCCAAGAACGAACTTCAATGAGCATCATGTGCCACTGTCATGTTGATGGACTCTCTACACCCCAAGCCCCTGTTGAAGTCCACGCACTTGGTACACGCACTTAGCAAAGCACACACCTCGTAGCCTCGCAGTAACAAAACTGGTCGTCATCGTACTGAAGCTTCAAGGAGTATTTGGCGAATGTGCCGTCCTGCGCAAAGCTTGGCAGGCGCCCTTGAAGCTTGTCACTGTACAACATAAAGAGTACTAGTCTGGCCTTACAAAAGGAGATGTGGGGGTTTCCCAAAATTATGGGTACCTTCTTGGGGTCCCCATAATAAGGACTGTAATATTTTGGGGTCTATATTGGGGTCCCCCTATTTTGGGAAACTACCATGTATGCTCAGTAGACCACCAGGACGGTCCCTACCGGCCATGAAGACCCTGTCTAGCTTGACTTTCCGTTGCAGCAGCTGACTTGGCTCTTCAAATGCCCGATGACAACTGGGAGTTTTCCAAAACGCATAGGCCCTCGTTCCCTGTATGTTAAGAGATTCAGGGCGGGGAGCACTAGTTTTGGAAATACCGAGCTGAGCGCATCAAAGCCCAAACAAATGCTCGCGCTAAACCCTACACTGCGAAATCGACACCGGGAAGCTGTGGACCTGCGGTCAAGAATCCAAAGTGACCCAGCCCACATGAGGGGCTTCTGAAATTAGGGATACCGTTCTTGGAGTCCCACAATAAGGATTGGACTATTCGGGGGCCCTCATCGGGATCCACCTAGTTATGGAAACTACCACATGTAAACCTCCGACCGGAGCAGCTCTAAAGACACGGGAGTTCGTAAGCCAAACTCTATATGGGTGGTTGTCAAAATTATGGTCCCTTTTTGGGTACCCTAAATATTAGGGGCCGTAGTATAGTAGGGACCCAAAAAGGGGCCAAAAATTTGACAACCACCCATATAGATTCCTTACGTGATCCCTGTACTCCTCTCACAATCCCAACATGCGCGCAGGCTTTCTTCAGCTCCTGGTTTTGATCGAGCCCAAAATCTGAGTCCACCTGTAGACTGTTTATATTGTAGATTAGCAAGAAGAGCAACTCTGGTGTCAAATGACTGATTGTTGCACACGGGGTTTTCCATGCTTACGATAGACTGTAGGAACCTAAATAATGAGGATAGGGCTTGGGGCGGGTTCTACCAGAGCTACATTAGGATTCTATAGGAGGTATTATGACAAACTAGCATTCTGCAGTACCGTCACTTCTCCTCCTTCTTTAACTACCACATGACTCATCATTTTGATCTATGGTTTAAGTGGACAACCAGTATATACACTCTCACAGAGCAACAATAAAAACTCTACCTCAAATAGCTGCAGATCCTTCGCAACCTCTTCCTTGCCTTCACCCCCCTAGACCCTGAACCCTGAAGTAGCTCAAGTTTCTTGCCCATTCCTTCTTCCCTGCTAAACAAATCGTTGCAGGTCCTTCCCAACTGTGGTTGGGGTTCGGATTCGCTGAGCCCAGGTGACTGGCCAGCTTTGCGCAGCTGTGTCCTGTCTGAGAGCATTTTGAAGAGGGTTCTACCAGAGCTACGGAATCCCTTCAAGGCGGTTGCATGGCGCCTCTATGGCCCCTGGAACGTGAGGTCATACGATTCGAAGGTTCACTCGCCTATGATACCAGCATGTAACATAAAAAGATTGCTTACAGATGTCTTGATTTCCTCAACCTTGTTCGAGACCTTGCAGTTCCGGCAGCAGCAGTCGTTCCTTGGAGGTTTTGTAGAATTGTTGCATGGGTTGACCGGGTTGATGCCATGAAATACAATGCAATGCGAGGAATCGGACGCATTTTTGAAAAATCTCACTGCGCGCTGCACAGTGATCAGCTCCACAAATCGGCAAGCACCATACCTGCACTAGTGCACTGGACCCTCATGGAAATAGTACATCCCTTTCGAGGGATTCCCTGCTATGCTTCTGGGGACCCCTCACCCTTGGAAACAGCCATCATAGTAGTGCTGCAGAGAAAGGAGCGTCGATGCCTCGTCCAGCACTGCATCTTGCATCGACTACCGTGATGTTGCTTTACTGCTCAGAGTTGGGTTCCGGTAGCATATAATTACCTCCACAGCAATACAACCCTAATGAGCAAAAATCCCCCATTCTAAGCCCCCCCATGCCATCCCAGGCCTCCACGCCGCAAGCGGACTTCTGGCCATGAAGGGGGAAAGCTGCGTCATTCTTCGAGAGCCGGTGGCCATTGAACGTCACGTTCGCGATGGTGACCTCTGCTATGGTAGGGCAAAAAGTGCCCAAACCCTCAAACCCGAACCTGTCAAGCTTTGAGGAACTCCTGGCTTGCCCCCCAAAGTTCCTAATGTTGCGACTTCTACCACAAATTTCAGACTCTTCTGGGCTTTAGTTTGATCCGCTTTGTTCTTAACATCAAATCCAACCCGAAATGCGCGTTCTTGATCCTAAGTCAAGAGACATGCATGCCGCAGCCCCGTTCAAGTCTAAAAGTGATCTTTGGTCCACATGGACTAATTGTATGCAATCAATGTAGCTCTCCGCCCCTTCTCTCAAAGATCGTAAGCGCAAGGCCGGCTTCAAAAGGCAGTCCTCAACCTCCCACGTGCACCTGTTGCGAACCTTGGCATTGGTTTCCGAATGGGATGAAACTCTTGGGTGGGATACTGAGGTAGAAACATGTAGCGGATGCTTCACAGCAGCCTAAGAAGAACTCAACCGTTTGCTCCAATGGCTAAGCATAAACCTCAGTGCCTGAACACTAGACAGGATTTATAGAGTTTGGACTTAATGGTAGTGGACCACCCAGAAACCTGCATCCGAAATCCCTTGACAGTCCACCGCAAAGATGTGTAGCAAGTGTTCAAACAAGGCCAGCAGTCTAAAGAGACGCTTATATTTCTTGGGCACATTCCCATTTCAGAAGCTGGCGAGCCGCAATGGTGACCTTGTCAGCCTTTCCCGGGCCGATTGCTGGATGTGAGATGCCCAGCTGGAAGCCTGCTGCACAAACATATCTGGGGCCCAGGAGGTGGTGTTGGGTTTATGGGGGCTTGGGGTCTGAGCCTAAGAGAACGCCAGCGGGGGGGGAGGAAGAGCGGGGGGAATTTTGAAGCAACTCACAATTGTTGCATAGACTTCGGAATCCCATCTCAGAAAGGGATTGAATGAAGGAATGGATGCGCATAGTAATCCCTATCTAATCCGCAAGAACATGATAGTTTCCATGTTCCTGTTCCTTCCCTTCATGCCCTGCCAACCGGCGGAAAGTCTGCTTAAAATACTTGAGCAGCGTATTAGAACTCCTACAACATGATGAGTTAAATTAATTCGAAATCCTTACGCTGACCCGCAGTCCCAAGGCATCTCATCCTGATGAGTCCCAGTACGAGCAAAGCTTCCAGGGGATTTCAAAAAGAGGCTGCACGGTCTAGTAATGCTTCGTGTTAGTGCTCCTCCTGCTCCTGCTCCTGCTGCTGCTGCTGCTGCTGCTCCTCTTCCTGCTGCTGCTGCTGCGGCTGCAGCTGCAAGTGTGCATGACCAAAGATGTAACTCTGATCAACTGCACAACTAGCCATGCGCACAGTTCGCACAGCAACAGTGGTAAACATCCGAAAGCAAAGCGTCCGTGAACCTCCTCATAGCGCGAAGAAACCTATAAATTACTATAGACCTTGATCATGTTGTCCATCTCGGCCGCCAAACTGCCGATCCTTATGAGTCCTCCCTACATGTCCTTACAACATGCAAGTTAAATACAGACATGGCAATTTCCATCAATAGTGGAACTCCAGTATTGACCCCAAAATACCTTGATCCTTACCTTGACGACCCCCAGAATAAGACCCCTAAGATTGGGAACTCTCCAGATAAACAAACTTCTACGCCCTTGGCGTCCTGGAAGCTGAGCTGTATCTTCGAGAAGCCTCCTGAGCCTTAGCTCGAAGCAACGGCGAAGGAAGGGATCGGGCCGAGGGATCAAAGTCTACAAAGAATACTACTACGTTGGGCCCTGAAGTCTACGAATAATCGATTTGGGCCCCCAGGGTTTGGGTTGAGGGCAAAGGGTTCTTACTGTTCTTACCTATTTGCTATCATTCAAAATTTAACCTACGTATGACCTACCAATCTTACAACTACCTCTATCTTTCTCATTTACTCACTCAATTCTCTCTCTGCTTCTCTTTTGTTTTTTCTTCTCTCTCTCTCTCTCTCTCACTCTCTCTCTCACTCTCTCTCTCACTCTGTCTCTCTCTCTCTCTCTCTCTCTGCTCTGCCTGAGTGGCGTTGCTCGTTTGTGTTCATTCTGGCGATCCTAGCCGAGGATTTTTTGTATGGCTGTGCCAGTGCTCAACGCTGGAAGCACAGCCAGGCAAGAGGAAGAAAAGACGCCTAAAACACACCTCGGGAGTTGGGTCCCTGGGGTCACTTCGACGTTCGAAGCAAGACCTCATCGGCAAGACAAGTGAGATATGAGTCGATGTCTGCCAGAAGCCAAGATTATATACTCATCTCGTCTGCATTGCAACACACCGCCAAGTGTTGCTCAATTCGCTTCTGAATTCCATCCACCTCAAGCCAAACTTGACGGAACTACACACGGGTGAGACTTGAATGAGGATCGCACGGGAACAATAAGACCCCTGGGCGAACAAAGCGTGAATGCCGGCTTAACAGGTCTTCAAGTCCTCCCATACTTCGCGCAAAACAACCAGCTTAGGGTTTACCAAGTAAGTCTGCAACTAATTTCAGATAAGAGGAAATCAGCATAACTTAGTCTAACAAGCTCACTAGTAGAAGTAACAACTCTGCGGCTCCAGTAGGGCCAGGCTTCTGAAGTGTTAGCTGCATGGCAAGCCACTCGCCGACGCCCGCAGGGGCAGAA